GTCTCAGATTGATGTAAGAATTAAGTGGCTAAGCCAAGTGCTGGTGGCTCATGCCTGTAATCCTAGCTGCTCAGGAGGCTAAGATCTGAGAATCACAGTTCAAAGCCAGTTTGGGCTAAGTCTGTGAGACTTACTACAATTAACCACCCAGAAACCTGGAAGTAAAGCTGTGGCTCAAGTGACAGAGCACTAGCCTTGAGCAAAAACATTCAGGGATAATACCCAGGTGCTGAGGCTCAAGCTCCGTGATGGTACCAAAATAAATAAATAAATAAATTCAAAGAAGAGAGGAAAAAGTCAAATTTTTAAGTCTGAGGACACATCAATTAAAAGCAATATGTCAATTTTATTATATCTTGATTTAAGTAAATTAAGGTTGTGTGTATGTATATGTTTATATGTGTATATAAAGACAACTGGGGATATCAATACTGATTGAATACTTGATAACACTAAAGTTACTATTATTTTTTTTAAGTGTTAATACTGGTATTACTTAAAAGTAGCACTTAAAGATACATAATAAAAGCCAGGTGCCGGTGGCTTACACCTGTAATCCTAGCTACTCAGAAGGCTGAGATCTGAGGATCATGGTTCAAACCATCCCAAGAAGAAAAGTTCCCATGAGACTTTTATCTCCAATTAACCACTCAAAAACCAGAAGCGGCACTCTGTGACTCAAGTGGTAGAGTGCTAGCCTTGAGCACAAAGAGGCTTAGGAATAGCACTCAGGCCCTGAATTCATATATAAATATAAAATAAAATGTTTATGGAGCCAGGGCACCAGTGGCTCACGCCATTAATCCTAGCTACTATAGGAGGCTGAGATCTGGGGATTGTGGTTTGAAGCCAGACAGGAAGAAAAGTCTGTGTGACTCTTACCTCCAATAAACTACTCAGAAAAAGCCAGAAGTGGTGCTATGGCTCAAGTGGTAGCACTCTAGCCTTGAACACAAAGAGGCTCAGAGACAATATCCAGGCCCTAAGTCCTAGGACCAGCAAAAAAAAAAAAAAAAACCTATGGATGAATTGTACTTATTTAATGTTTATGAATCCCATCTCTGCCATACAAATGCCGGAATTACAGGCATTCAACACCACACCAAGCTGTGATTGCCTTAAAATAATCTAACATAAGAGGATACAGATGAAGTAAGACTGGGCATTTATTTGTTAAGTTTTGAAATTGGATGATGTATGACTTCACGGCTCTACTCTACCTTCAGAAATGTTTGATATTTGTCTTAAAAAAAAGTTTAAGCTGGGCAACTGTTGGCTCATGCCTGTAATCCTAACTACTAAGGAGGCTGAGATCAGAGGATCGTAACTCAAAGCCAGCCCAGGCAGGAAAGTACAAGAGACTCTTATTTCTAATTAACCACCAGAAAACTGGAAGTAGCACTTTAGCTCAAAGTGGTAGAGCTCTAGCCTTGAACAAAAAAGCTCAGGGACATTGCCCAGGCTCTGAATTCAAGCCCCATGACTGACAAAAAAAAGTTTAAATAGAACTAAGTACTTGGTAGTTATTATGGTTATTCTCATGGATGTTTATTACAGTGTAAGCAAGGATCATGGATCATCTTTGCTGCCATTCTCTTGTTCTCTACCATAGTATCTAACCCTCAAGATATGCCACACAAGCTTACTTGTATCTGATCATATCAAGTCACTCCTTTTCTTTTAAAAATACCTTAATAACTATCTTCTACTCTGAGAGAAAAAAATCTCAATTCATAACAGGGCTGTTTGTTTTCTTTTAAAAAGACTCCTTCAGCCTCCATGTATATCATTCTCTTCTTATTCTGCATTCTGCCTTTCCCCTATTCCTCAAATGAGTCATATTCCATCCTACTACAGACCCTTAGCACTGTCATCCTTACTGCTTCCATTCAAATCAACTTTTACCCAAATACTTCCTACTCAATCTTAGCTCAATCTCCAACACTAGCCTAGATAATCCTGCCAAGTATACACTTTAATAGTCTGTTCCTGAATCTCTCCTTCACAGGACTTAGTACTGGTGCAATATTAAATTTTTGCTCTTATTCTTCACTGTGTCCCTCATATATAGCCCAGGGTCCCCTTTATATCCTCCCACTGCTACCAAAGGACTTCACTAAAGGATATGGCATCAAAGTGCTCTCACCAGTCATCGCCCACATTGAAGGCATTAAGGCTCTTGGTAAAGCCTTGCATATTGGTGGGGCTGACTCTCTGCAGGAAGTCAATGTAGTCCTCAGAGTGGAAGCGGCACATGTCATGCTGGGAGGCCTGGTACGGCTTGAAGACCTTGGGAATGGAGACATAAGATGAACTAGGCAGGGTCTGACACTGAAACCAGTTCAAAACAATGTGCAACAATCCTTCCACCCTTCACTCATTATTCTGAGACAAAGGTCAGCTATCTTAATCAAGACCCTTGAAGATTACTTCCTCATCTTCTCACCTCCAGTTCAGCTTCTCCTACATCCTCAGCCTCGAGCCCTGATCCACCAGCCCTGTTCACTAAATCTCCTTGTCCTAATTTTCTCTATACTCATCTCCTCTCTTAGGCTCTGACTCTGCCCTCTCTCCCCTAGTTTCTTTCTTTTCCCACCTAGGTTCTTCACGGTTGTAAGGTCTGCACAGGGACACCTCCTTGCCTCTTGGCTAAGTTTCTGCCCAGTATCTGTTACCTAGGTAACTGGCAGACCTGGAAGCAGTCACCTTCCCCTCCAGCTAGGTCACATCTTGGGCCACCTTGGGACACCCGCCTCCCATCTGACCTTTGGAGGGTCCCAGGCACTGAGGTCAAGTCCAGATCCAGTGTAGCCACACCTTTCCTCCTCCTGGCCACACCTCTTCCTGTCCCTGGCCTAGATAAGTCCTGGCCCAGGGGTGGGTCGCCCCTTTTCCTTTTCAGCCATGTCTGTCCACCATGTACACAGGGGCAGCAAGCAGTTCAGTAAATAAACTTCTCCTGCCTGAATAGCGCATGGGGTTCTCCTCATCGGCTACCTAATGAAACCTACCTCTTTAATATGCCTTACAATAATGATGTGTGGCAACCTAATTGAATTCCCAGTTGTTAAGCCAAATACTTACCATCCTCAATAGTAGAGGGGGGGAGGTTCACACATCCCTTTGAAAATTAGGTAAAGAAAAAACTTGTCTTCTATAAAATGTACTCAAGAATACACAAACAAACAACCTCAAAGGATTCAGTTTTCTACACTAACATTACCTATCTTGTATGACCAAACCACTGTCTGCACCTCATTATCCTCATAGTGCATAAGGGTCAAGTCCACTATTATTCTACAACTATAAATTCCAAGCTAGGACAGATAGCATATATATGTATAAGTATATATAGGAGATAGAGAAATGGGTATCAGTTAAGCAGAGCTGTGTAGAGTTATTCTAGGTTGAGAAGAGATTACCCAGAACATCTCTCGCTGTATGCACACACAAACACAAACTTATTCACAGTGCTGCAGAGCTGTATTTGCTGTTCTAGCTCCTTGGAGATAGAGAAATGTAGCAAAAGAAAAACGGTGGGAAATCAGAGTAAGCCCCACACTCAGACATAGTAATAAAGCCTCCCTGCTTCCCATCTCCAGTGCCAGAGCACTGTGTCCTTAAAATTCATGGGAGCTAAAGGTGCAGTTCAGTGGTAGAGGCATTTGCATGGCATTCATAAATCTCTAGGTTCTGATCCTCAGCAAGGCAGAATAAGTAAATATATAAATATAAGATGCAAGGGAGGCTCACATCTGTCTTCAACCCACACCACATCACCGTAGCCCTAGCAAAGGTCTGAGGTTGAAGGGAGAACGACCTGGGGTGAAGAGTTAATTCCCATTATGTCAGAGGACGCCACCCGCAACCGGGAGTGCTCCTGGTGTCTACTTCCCGGGGACGGGTTGCACTCAGTGCATTCAAGTACAGCCCACGCAATCCAAAGGCCACAGCTCACTCCCAGCCCCAAACCCCAGCAGAAGCAGCGGGACTCACGATCATCTTCTTATAGAGACCATAATGCAGGACCAGGCTATGGGTCAATGCCAAACGATGGGGCTTCATAGGGTGCCCAGCTCCTGAGAGTGGGGGGAAAGAGAGTTCGTCAGCTTCCACCCCTGGGGTTGCAACCCCTGTTTAGAAATCTCTGCACCCCAGCTCCTCGCGCACGACCAAGTTCCTCACCGTAGTGGAAGTTGCCCACGTCGGGGTCGTAGAAATAGGCCACAGTTTTGGACATGGTACCGGCGGGACCAGGCCCCGAGCCACCGCCGCCCGCCCTCTAGCCGCAAGCCCCGCCCCTGGACTGCGTGTTACGTAAACACGTACCCTGCCTCTGCGGAACTCGGAGTTCTCGACCCGCCTCCAGAGACCACGCCTCGGACACGCCCCCTGCGGGAGTCCCGCCCCTCTCCTAGCTTGAACGTCCTGGTTTGGGGCTTGAGCCTCCCGGCTGGGGTGGGGACGTACGGCTGCAGTTCTAGGATGCGAGGGCCATTTCTTTTGGGGCGGGGGTTAGATCCGCGGGAAGCCGAGCTAGCTCATCCAGTCTCTTTCACCAAACAGGCGCAGGCCGTGGTCACCTGCCTGAGAAGCTTGGAAGATCTGGCCACGCTGCCCCTCTCAGGTGCAGAAAGCCAGCTTTCCCCTACCCGCTGGGAGGATTCCGGGTTATCCACTTGTCGGGGGTATCTGAGGGCAGGAACTGCGTCAGGCGTGCAGGATAGACCAGTGGAGGACACGCCACCCGCACCCGGCCTCCTTAACCCCCGCGCGGACTCAGACTCGGCGCCGCACGCTCTCCCGGGGTGGGGGAGACGGCGCGGCGCAGTCACGCGCGCATCTTACTTGCGCTTACACGCGCGCGAGGCTCACGCTCCCCGCACACCTGCGCTCCGCCCTTTGGTCCCAGGCCGGCAACGGGAGAAGACATTTAGGAACCCAAGGCGGCTTTGGAGGCACCCCCCAGCCCCCCTCCCTTCTCCCCATCAGGGCCATTTCCCAGGACCGCAGTGGTCCGGAGGCTCCCTCGGCTCCCAATCAGTCCTCCTCCTCCGCCATCCTTCCCTCCCCCCGCCTGCCGCGGCACGGGTATCCGCAGCCACAAGCTCGGAGCCGGTGAGGCTGCGAAGAAGCGGGGAGGGGGAGGAATCAAGGGATGAGCGCCGGGAGGGCGTCGGGGGCCCTGAGCCGGACTAGGACGCCCCTGGAACGGGAACCCGAGCCGGAGCCGGAGCCAGAACCAGATCATCGGTACCGGGTGGGCATGGTGGTCAGGGTGGGAGGAATCGAAAAGGCAGGGAGGGATTCGGGAGTACCGGGAGGAGGGGGCTGCCGAAGGCCTGGCTCAGGCCAACAAGGAGGAGGTTGAGATGGATGCTGACTCGAGCGCGATTTCTGCGCCCGCCGCCTGAGAATTCCGTCCCTTCCCACGCTGCAGTGTCCTTGGGAGGGACAGAAGCGGGGGACGAGCTGGAAAGGGGAACCGTCTGGACGCCGGAGAAGTGGGACCGGGTTGGGGCCAAAGGCTTGCGTAGCTGCCATCTGGCCTCCAGCCTCGGGCGGCCTTGGCCGACCAGCACCCTGGGCCCGGACAGCTCCCTGGTTGGGTAGCGGGGTGGGGTAGAGTTTCTGAGGCTTGCCTGTGGGATCTTGAGAACTGCATTTATACCCCCACTCCCATCCCTAGCTGCAGCCCCCTAAACCCAGGAAGCGCCCTGGCCCGCGCTCGCCCCCCAGGGCCTCATGTCGGAACCACAGCCTGACCTGGAGCCGCCCCAACATGGGCTGTACATGCTCTTCCTGCTTGTGCTGGTCTTCTTCCTCATGGGCCTTGTAGGCTTCATGATCTGCCACGTGCTAAAGAAGAAAGGCTACCGCTGTCGCACGTCCAGGGGCTCAGAGCCTGACGACGCCCAGCTCCAGCTCCGTGAGTGAACAGCCTGGAATCCTGGCTCAGTCAACTTTCTGCCTTACTCCTTTCCCTACCACACCTTTCTGCCTCCTTGACCTACGACCGAAGCCAAATCCTGATCAGGCCTGTAAGAAACCTAGCAATGCATTCTGAAGTCAGCAAGTAGATGATAACACCCTGAAAGCAAGGATAGAGAAGGCAGCATGGGCAGCAACAGTCCACTGCTCACTGCTGGTAGTTCTAGCCTCCCATTGACTTCCCCATCTCTATGGGCCCTGAAATGCTAAAAACTTCCCAGCATGATGGCAAATGGGTAAAGGGATATCCTGAGCAATCAATTGGCCATAGGGGCCATCAGCTCATGTTCCCCTAAAGCTGACTCATTTCTTGCTTTCTTGCCAACCTCTTTCATCCTTCAGCTGAGGACGATGACGTGAATGAGGACACGGTAGAGAGGATTGTTCGCTGCATCATCCAAAATGAAGGTGAGTATAGGCTGGCCCCTTGCTGCCTCCACTCTGACTTTCTCTTGCCCTGACCTCCACCTCCACTGACTCCCTCTTTCCCTTCTCCCCTCAGCCAATGCTGAGGCCTTGAAGGAGATGCTGGGGGACAGTGAAGGAGAAGGGACAGTACAGCTGTCCAGGTGAGCTGGAAACAAGGGCCAGCATGACTTAGCTTGCCTTGGAGAGTACCCTCTCCTCCAGCACAGTCCTATCCTAGTGTCCTTGCATGTTTGGGATGGGGTAGGCATGGGGAGGAAAACAAGGCTGCCTATAACATAGGAAGAAACAAGTTTTGTAGAAATTCCAAGTCCTTCAAACCATGTCTCCCATGTAGGTATTATCAAGGCTAGCATTCACATCTAGTACAACTCTTTGGAGTTAACCATTACCCTCTTTTAGCAAACAGGGCTGGAAGGAAGACCACATAGTCATTCATATCTTAATGTTGAATTTATTAGATTAAAAGGAACTGGGCTTGGGAAACAAGAGCTTCTGGGGGCATGCTAAAAGAACAGGGAAGAGAACAGAAAGGGAAATGGAAATACAATTTCTGCTCTCCTCCCTACTATCCAGCGTGGATGCCACCTCCAGCCTGCAGGATGGAGCTCCCTCCCATCATCACACCGTGCATCTGGGCTCATCAGCCCCTTGCATCCATTGCAGCCGTGGCAAGAGGCCCCCACTTGTCCGACAGGGACGCTCTAAGGAAGGAAAAAGCCGCCCCCGGACTGGGGAGACCACTGTGTTCTCAGTGGGAAGGTGGGACTATGGTGCTCAGGAAAAGGGAGGCTGAGGTGGGGAATCTCAATAATAAGGCACCTGACCCCAAAGGTGAGCCCCAGCTCTTTTCTCTTGGACTGGAACTGCAGCAAGGGTCAGGCTGCAAAATTTGCCTCACCATCTGAGAAAGCTTCCCCTACCCCAGAGGTCAAAGGGAAGTGACCATCAAACCCAGGATATCTGGTGGGAGGGGTAGGCTCAGCTGCTTGTTGAGTTATGGGCCTAAGTCTCAGTATTCTCTCCTCTTCCAGATTCCGAGTGACACACATTGAGAAGCGTTATGGGCTACATGAGCATCGTGATGGTTCCCCCACGGACAGAAGCTGGGGCTCTGGTGGGGGGCAGGATCCAGGGGGTGGTCAAGGGTCTGGAGGGCAATCCAGGACAGAGCTGCCTGCTGTTGAGAGGCTGCCCCCTGAGGAGCCCCAGGATCTAGCCAGTCCCCTGGTGCAGAATGGAGGACTCAGGGATACCAACCCAGTCCCTTCTGCACTTGAGGGGAACCCTGGAGCCTCTGCAGAACCAACACCAGGGGCCAGAGGGAGGGGCCCAATCTCAGGGATGCCTAGTCAAGAAGCAAATGGAGAGCCAAGCAAACTGGACACCTCAGATCTGCAGGTATGAAGACATGGCCAGGGTTACCATGAGCTATGATGGGCTCAGTCTTATTGCCCTATTCTGACAAGCACTAATTACGATCCACCTACTGTTCCCATTGTCAATGCCCCCCCCCATCTCTAGGTGTCTCCACCACAGGGACCAGGGGGCTTGTGAGGTGAGTCTGCCTGAGACCTACGTCAGGTAATCTCACCCTTCCACCCTCTATCCAAACTAAGCCCATCAGCTCCCCATTTCCCCAGAGTTAGCCTGTGCTTCAGATTCCTTAGCTGGTGGTGGGTGTTCCAGTGATTAAGAAGGGTCCTGAAGCTCCTGGGGAAAGTGGGGACAAAACTTCAACAGAAAGCAACACTGTTCCCCTTCCTTTCCTCCAAGCCTCATTCTTCATTGTGCTGATGGACTGACTACCAACTGGCAGGACCAGGGGGTGGATGGTCATGAAGACCCTCCCCTCCACCGGGCAGCAATGCCCCTCCATTGAGGGACCAGCTCTACTTCTACCTGGAGTTGCATGGTCTCAGGCTGAGGAACCTCAGAAATCCCCCCTTCCCATCCCCATACTCTTGCCCCTCAGTCTCATACCCCTTTTCAACCTGACAACAGAATGCCTGGCCTGTCTCTTCTCCAATGCCTCACTCCACATGCTAGAGAGTGGCAACTGGGACCAGGCCCTTGCCCTTGGTGGGCCCCTAAAGCAATAGCACCTTAGGCTCCCTGCCCTGTTGGCACTAGAGTCTCAAGACCTGGCTTGGACTTCTTGCCCTTTATTCACTGTCAATAAATCCGCTCAAACCATTACAGCTGCTTCACATACTGGCTCCAGCTCCTTCTGACTTCCAAGGCCTGTTCCTCTCCTGGCACTAAGCCTAGTGACCTTGGCATCCAGACCAGGATGGGCCATAAACCAAGGTAGAGATAGAGATGGGCTAGAACCACGCAAGACTTTGGGGAGTGGGTTCCAGCCTGAGATGGGGGGGGGTATTTTACCACTCTAGAGATGGGGTGATGGCAGAAGACAAAGGGGATAATTCCAGTCCTAGGAATATCAGGGGAACAGTGGAAAAGAGGAGTCAATCCTAGCCCCAGAAAGGAGAGGGGAGTTAAGAGTGGGCACAAGAGATTCTAGCTTTTGGCTGTGTTGCTCCACATCATTGAGGGAGTAGTCTCTGACAGCATGGAGATAGGGCAGCAGCATTATTTGGGGCAGTGGTTCCCCTGGCCTTCAGGTGAAGTGATCTGGGTGGCCAGGATCCGGAGCTTTAGCTGGTGGGGGAGGTGGTGGACGCATCTGTAGGGAACACAAAGTTAGTGCTTCAGAGCCCTCCCTTGTGGATATACTTGTCCTAGCAGACAAAACAGGACCGTTGGAATGACCCCCTTTGCAGTTCCCTCTAAGGCAGGGACTCTTACCGGCCTGAGTCGAGGCACCATCATGTCCAGGGGGCCAGGACAGTCCAAGGCTTTAGAACAGTCTAAGGATGTGTCTGAGAACAAGAACCAAGAGTTAGTCTTCAGGCATTGTTTTGTGTAATCCTGCATCTCTACTCCTTAGGATAGTAACACTGTAAATATTTGTTGAATTAATGAATAGTAATGAACCTCAGTCACAAAATCCATCCATCGAGCCTCAACACTTATTGAGCAACTGCTATGTAATCAGTTATGCCTGAAATACCAAAAGAAAGAAAAGGTGGGAGATACAGCTCTCCCCAATAGCTCTCAGGAACCCAGTTATTAAACATCAATACACACAGTGACTATCTTAGTACTAAGTTATTCAAAGTGAGATAGGTGTGGTTAGAGATGGTTAACTTCGGAGGATCAGGGAGGGTGCCTCTGTGGAGAAGGTGAAAGTCTAGAAGGTTTTAGAAAAGGTAGACATTCCAGAAGGAAAAGGGAAAAAAGGGACTGGGGACATGGCTTAGTAGTAGAAGTTCTTGCTTAGAATATGCAAGGCTCTGGGTTTGATCTCCAGCACCAAAAAAAAAAAAAAGAAAAAGAATGAAGGCCTGGGCACTGTCCCTGAGCTCCTCTCCCCTCCCACTCCAAGGCGATCACTCTACTTCCAACTTTCTTGAATTGTTTATTAGAGATAAGACTTTCCTGCCCAGGCTGGTTTCAAACCACAATCTTCAGATCTCAGCTTCCTGAACAGCCATAGGATTATAGGCATGAGCCACCTGTGCCTGGCTAGAAACATCTTTTTCCTTTTTTTTTAACTCTCAAAAGAACAAAGTAACAAAGAATGGACAGGTAGAACAGTTCAACTAGGTCAGCCTAACTCCACATCTCAAGCTCTTCTTCCTACTAACCTGCAGTGGACCTAGTGCAAGGTATAGTGAGGGCCAACAGAGAAGCAGAGTATGGCCTTAGGGTCCATACTTCCTCTTCACATCTCTTCTTATTACAGAACCCCCAAGTCCTTCTACTCACCCCCAGGAAGGGCAGGTGCAGAGAGTCCACCCAAGGCAGAGGTGGGTGCAGGAGGAGAGAAACTGGGAGGAGAAGGAGATGGCAGCATCTGGGGGCAGGATGGGCACAGAGTTATTCCTGGTATGGGAAAGTTTCACCAGCTTTTCTCCTATCTACAATTCTATCACACTCACTGTAGGAAGTGGCCAAATGTTTATATTCAGGCCAGGATTGTAACTTATACATATTTCAACAGCCAATACATTTTGAAGATGTAATGTTGCAGGCATTTTGCTAGCACTGCGTATACACTAATTCAACCCTCATCACTACCATATCAAATAGGCATTTTTATGACTCTATGTTAGAGGTAAGATTATGTTAAGCCATCCATCCAAGATCACAGGGTCAGTTAGTGGCATAGTGTGGCTACAATCTAGGTCTCCTGACTCCCACTGTGAAGCCCTTCCTCTATAGCATGGAAAAAACATGAAGACTTTTAAGTATTTTCTGTGTGCTATCAGGATAAGAGGTATACTTCTATTCATGACAGTGAAACTACTGAAACAGCTAACAAGGAATATAAATCCACCTTACACATAACATAAGCTCAGAGATGCTGCCTAAGATCACTGCTCAAGGCCTTGTGGTAGAAATTTGAACTGAGATCTATCCAGCACTAAAATCCTCTGCATTCCTAGGAAGCTTGCCTTGGTTTCTCTTTCCTCTGCCCAGAGGATAGAGAGACGTAAGCCACCATAGGAGGAAATCCTGGGGAGAAGAGGGAGCATTAAGTTAAATACAAGGCCGTACCCTAGAAGTACCTGGGGACCCAGGAAAAATGAGGCCTCACCTGTTCAGAGTCTGAGAGTTCAGGTGGTCCTGGGGGACCAAGCAACTCCTCTACCAGCAAGGAGGGGAAAACTCCAACATGGCCCCCAAATTCTCCCCTCCAGAAGCCATCATCCACTCCATCTTGGGCCCTAGGTAGCAGGCGGATGAGTGCTCCCTCAGGGAAGCTCAGCTCCTCTTCACTCTGTCCAGTGTAACTGTACAGGGCATGGGCCAAGAATGCTGTAGATGCCCAGAAGAGGTGGTGAGAGAAGGGGATGGGCAGTGATACCATCAGACCCACACCACCAAATAATTTGTCTCCATACTCAGGGTACCCATACCCAAAATTAACCTTTCTTACCAGTGGGTTCTGCTCCCAATGGATTGTTACTGTCATGGCTGCTCTCAGAAAGGGACAGATCCGGGAAGTTGAGATACCGCTCAGGAACAAAGCCTACCTCACCATGCTGGTTCCGAGCCTGTTCATCCAGCAATATAAACATATTAGACTTATCTTGAAACAGCTTATGGCCCTGGCTCCTCCACTCAGCCTTCTGAGAGTGGAGGAAAGCCAGGAGTGGGCCTTATGGGCCACAGAGAAGTCCTCCCACTGACCCCCAACTCAAGATTGTAATCCAGAATTGTATACCCACCTTGACCCATTCTTCAGCATCTCCCTCCTCTATGACCTCCAGCCACTCACCCTCCATGATGGTCAGTTCATCTTCATGCCCTGCCTGAGTCCACAGGGAAAGATTCAAGAGTTGGCTGGACCCCCACTCCCACTGCCCATCTGAAGTCCTGTCCCTTTTTTATACCTGATAGCCAAATACCACATGTGCTGGGCAGGGGAGGGGCCTGGTAGCCAGGGCTGGAGGGGCAGGCTCCTCAAAAAGCTCCCCAGTCTCCTCACATTCATCAAAATCAGAAAGCTCAACATCCTCAGCCTGTTGGGGAGTAAAGAGCACATCACCATGGAACCCACTCTCAAGTACTTCTTGTACCTCCCACTCCCCCACACAATGGGAACTGTCCTTTAAGGCTGAATCTCCCAACCAATCATCAGTTCTCATAATCAAAAGCACCACAGAGCAGGGTGAAATTGAAAAATACTATTTAAAATCGAGTACTTAATATGTATACAGTCCAATGTAAAGTATCTTATTTTGGGGCTGATACTGGAGCTTGAACTCAAGGCCTCCCATTCTTGATTAGGTTTTTCTGCTCGATTGCTGCACTCTACCACTCAAGCCACACCTCCACTTCTATTTTTTTGCTAGGTAATTGGAAATAAATGTCTCTTGAATTTGTCTAACTTGGCTAGCTTCAAACTGTGATCCTTAGATCTCAGCCTCCTGAGTAGCTAGGATTATAGACATGAGCCACCAGAGCCTGAAAGCACTGTAGTATCTTTACACACACACACACACACACACACACACACATTTACTATATATGCACATATATGTATATACATATATAATTATATATACATAAATATTTATATACATATTGTTTGTCATAAAAGACCTACAGGAGAGATTATATGAACCCAGTATTATTGACCAGTCTTATTAAACTCATTTTACTTTTGAAGAAATTAAGGCTTGGTTAAGTCAGTTTCCAAGATCATCAGCCAATGAATGCCTGATACTGAAGTCACTCACAGGGTGCTCCCAGAACCTTGCTTCTTCACCACCATATTATATTTGTAGTAGAAGTTTATTGAGGAGTTAGAGATGTAGCTCAAGTACTAGAGTGTTCACCTAGTAAGTGTAAGGCCCTGGTTTCAATCCCCAGTTCTGCAGGGGTAAATAATTATTGAGGATTCTCTATGCCAGAAATCTATGGAGAATTTTATATGAATGGTTTCATTTAAGCCTTACAACAACCCTCTGAGTCAGGTACTGCTGTGATTCCCATTTCAGACGGTCTGCCTTCAACTGGGAACTTTTACCCTCCTAGGTATGTACAGTGAGAGGTGGGAAGAAGCTCACCGTGGGGGAGAGGTCCCTCTGGGACAGCCTGGCCTCGCTAAGCCTTCGCTCCTGCTCCACCTCATCCTGGGCCTGAGTCATGGCTGGCTTCAACCAGTGCTGAACATCCAGGCCAGCCCCCTGCAGCAGGGCCAGCCGGGCAGCTCCCTTCACCTGGCTCACCTGACATGAGGAAAAAAGGGAGTTAATGGAACCTGGCCAGCTGTGTCCCTCTGCTTCCCCTCTCGGAGTTGACTGAGGAGGTGGGATCTCAGTGGTGCTAAGCCTAGGGCTATGCCTCACCTGTGCCCTCCGAATGCTCTCCTTCACTTCCTGTAGCCTCTGTTCTATGCCTGGGGCTTCTCGCTCTGGAGCCTGTTGCCTCCTCTGCTCCAGTCGCTGCAGCACCTGGTGAGGAAGGCAGAAGTGGGTGGAAATACTGTGGGCCACAACTTACTCTGGACCTGGTACTTGGCTAGTTGCATTATTTGCAGTTTATCATTTATCTTCCCTATGATGTAGGTGTTATTATTGGCTCCAGTTTAGTGATGAGGAAACTGAAGTCCAGAGAGGTGA